CCCGACGCGGCCCATCGTCAATGGCAGGCCAGAACCTGCGGGCACAGGATATAGAGGGCAGCTTTAGCCACAGGCCTGGCCCTGCCTCAGCATTTGTGAGCATGCAGGCTAGGGGGCTATCATCCCTTGCAGGCTCCTACTCCTTGTTCCTGCCTCCTTAAATCCTACATTCTCTCTCTCCTGTCTCCTTTTCTTGGCTACTATTCCTTCCTAAACCCAGTCCACCCATCATCTTATCTGCTGCTCTCAGGGTGCCTGCAAGGTCCCCCAAGCTCTCCTTCTTATTCCACATCACAAATCCCCAACCCTGCTGCTCACTAACCCTCATGCCCAAAGTTCCCTATCCCATCAGCAGCTCATTCTCCCTATCCCCGCAAACCTCACACCCTGCATTCCACATCAGGCTTCAGTTCCTCTGCCCCCTGCCCTCCTCAATATTCTCACCCTATTCTCTGATCCCCTAAACCCCAGCCCCATCCTTCCCCATGATCCCCCTTTTCCTGTCTCAAGCACCCAGATACCCTTCTCTGCCATCTCCAGAAGCTTCCTCTCTTCCCCTGTGACTTCTACTTCTGTCCCCTTGCTGTGGCCTCCCCCTTGCCTGCTTTCTGAGTCCCATCACTCCCTCCCTACCTCTTCCCCACTCATGGAGGCTTCCTGCCCCAAGCGCTGTCCACACCCAGCAGTACCTGTGCGGGTGGGAGAACTCCATGGTGGGCATGTAGTTCATGACCGCGATGTAGATGAAACTCCGGGCATTGTCCACCACATTGAGCAGAGCCTTCAGGTCTGGAGTGCGGCCACTTGGACACAGGGGAGGGGGTGCACTCTGGGGGTGAGAGAACAGTCAAGACCTGTGCTCTGCCAGGGCTCCATCACAGTGGATTCCAAGAACGGACAGCTCACCATGAGCTGTGTCCTGTGGATCTCACAGAATCCTCAGCTTCCTTGAAAGGAAGGGATAGTGACCACATCCTTTCACAGATCAGAAAAAAGCTCAGAAAGGGACCAGCAGATGGTGGAATGGTTATGCCTCTGGACTCCCACATATTCGATCATGGTTCGAGTCCCAGACCCAGCGACTTACAACTTATGCCAGATGTGTGTGCACATGTGTTCAAGGTCCTAAGAGGAGAACAGAGAAGGGATTGCAGTGTAGCCATCCCTGCTGGGGGGTGATTTCTTGCTTTCTGTCTCTCTCTCTGTCTCTCCAGCAAGTGCACATACTGTATAGCAAAAATCTCTCTCTTGGAGCTGGCAGGTGGTGTGGTGGTTAAGGGCGCTGCACTTCCACATGGCCAACCGCGGTTTGAGTCCCGGACCTGAGGCTTGCTTTCTCAGTCTCTCTCTCTGTCCCTCTCTGGTCAAATCAGAATAAATAAATAAATAAAGTTTAAAAATAATTCTTTAAAAAAAAACTCTCTCTCAAGGAAAAAAAAATTCTCAGAGAGGGTGAGTGACTTGTCTGAGGTTACATAGTTGATAAACAGAGCCAGGATATGAACCCAGGCAGTCTGGTTCCAGAATTTATGCTCTCATACAGTGGTCCTCAACATAAGCCCCTGGTCTAGCAGTGACAGCATCACCTTGCTGCACAGGGCATACTGAATCAGAATGCTGGAGTGAGGTGCAGGAATCTGGGTTTTAGCAAGCCTTCTGGGTGATTCTGAGGCATACGCAGGTTTGAGGACCTTGTCTGTGTTCATCTTTCCCAATGTGCTCATGGCCTGCCTTGACTGGGCACTCCTTTTTTAAAAAAATTTTATTTATTCATTCATTTATTTTAATTTGACCAAAGAGAGAGAGGGAAAGTGAGAAAGCAAGCCACCAAGTCCGGGACTCAAACCGTGGTTGGCCATATGGATGTGTCCAGTGCCTTTCCCACCATGCCACCTGTTGGTCCCCCTTGTTTTTGTTTTTAAGATTTCTGCCAAAGAGTGTCTGTGCTAGCTGGAGAGACAGAGAGGAAAAGTGAGAAATCAACCCCCAGAAGGGATGGCCACAAAACAATCCCATCTCCTTCGTTCTCTTCTTGGGATTTTGGGCACACATGCACACGTGCTCGGCATGTTTTTCAAGCTGCAGGACCCGGACCTCCAACTGCAGAGTCAGCCATGTGGGATCCAGTGCCTTAATCACCATGCCACTTGCTGGCCACCAATATACCCAGTGCCACATCAGGCAGACAGATGAGGAAACTGAGGTTCTGAAATGGTAAGTGCTAAAGAGGGAAGCCTTAATCCCGTCCCTGTGGCCCCGACGCGGCCCATCGTCAATGGCAGGCCAGAACCTGCGGGCACAGGATATAGAGGGCAGCTTTAGCCACAGGCCTGGCCCTGCCTCAGCATTTGTGAGCATGCAGGCTAGGGGGCTATCATCCCTTGCAGGCTCCTACTCCTTGTTCCTGCCTCCTTAAATCCTACATTCTCTCTCTCCTGTCTCCTTTTCTTGGCTACTATTCCTTCCTAAACCCAGTCCACCCATCATCTTATCTGCTGCTCTCAGGGTGCCTGCAAGGTCCCCCAAGCTCTCCTTCTTATTCCACATCACAAATCCCCAACCCTGCTGCTCACTAACCCTCATGCCCAAAGTTCCCTATCCCATCAGCAGCTCATTCTCCCTATCCCCGCAAACCTCACACCCTGCATTCCACATCAGGCTTCAGTTCCTCTGCCCCCTGCCCTCCTCAATATTCTCACCCTATTCTCTGATCCCCTAAACCCCAGCCCCATCCTTCCCCATGATCCCCCTTTTCCTGTCTCAAGCACCCAGATACCCTTCTCTGCCATCTCCAGAAGCTTCCTCTCTTCCCCTGTGACTTCTACTTCTGTCCCCTTGCTGTGGCCTCCCCCTTGCCTGCTTTCTGAGTCCCATCACTCCCTCCCTACCTCTTCCCCACTCATGGAGGCTTCCTGCCCCAAGCGCTGTCCACACCCAGCAGTACCTGTGCGGGTGGGAGAACTCCATGGTGGGCATGTAGTTCATGACCGCGATGTAGATGAAACTCCGGGCAT